GGGGGGGGGGGGGGGGATGTGGGGCAGAGGGTTGGGGGTGGGGGGCGGTGACAGCATATCGCAGCGCCATTTTTTGGCGTGGCAGGTCAATAAAACGGGTGAAAGCACTGGGACAAAGGATCCAGTTGGGATAGTGCACAGCCTTGCCGTGTAACAAGATGTGAGGTGCACGCTGGCAATGTATGTAGTGCACCCCACGCGTCCCTGGAAAATCGGACGAGCGGACTCGTGCATTACGCAAGCCGTCTCCCTCACTGAAACATCAGCACGCACGCACCCTTGCACACGTACACTCCTACCCACACGCACTTCCACGACCACACGCGCCGCACCTTCCCAATGAGGTCCCCCCAGGCCGGCATGGCGTCCATGGTGGCCCACACCGCGGCGCTGGCTGCGGGGCTCTCCTTGTAGGGCCGCCCGTAGGCCAGGGCATCCGCCTCCAGCATGGCGTAGGGGCTGCCAGACATGTTGAAGAGGGTGCCATCAAAGACCGCCTGTGGGGGGGGGGCATGAGTGCGTTTTTGGGGTGGCGTGCTTGTGTAACCGTGATGTTTTACACATTGTGTGGGTGCCAGGGTGTGTGGATGTATGTGAGCGTGAAAGAGAGAGATGGCCCAAGAGATTGAGTGAGAGAGAGACAGACTGTGTGTGCTTGTGCATGCGAGCGAGTGCTTGCATGTGTGGGAGCATGTGTGCGTTTGCGTGTGGACGTGGGTGTCTGTGTTTGTGTGTGATCCACAGGCAGGGGCAGCAAATGCGGGGCGCGGGGGCTGCACTCACGTCGGGCTTTGGCCGCAGGAAGGGGATGGGGTTCTTGTAGGCCGCCTGGCGTGGGATGTGTGAGTGCGCGGGCATCCTCTCAGCGTGTGGGGTGAGGGGCTTCAAATCTGCAACAGCGCAACAGCGCCATGGCTCGGCTCCCTCGGCACGCTGCCTGGGCCTCTGGCGCCCGTGCACGCGCCGTCCCTCCCCCCCCAATGCCACCCAGGCCTGCGCGCGCGCCCCCGCGCCGCCCACCAGCTCTGGCCGCAGCTTGCACGACGTGGCGAGGGGCGTGTTGAGGATTATGAGGCGGTCGATGAGGGCCGGGTTGTCCAGGGCCCACAGCAGCGCGTAGTGGCTGAGGACCGAGCCCTGGCCGGGGACGGGTGACGCGGGGTGACAGGACGCACTTCACACGTGTGTGTGTGTGTGTGTGTGTGTGTGTGTGTGTGTGTGTGTGTGTGTGTGTGTGTGTGTGTGTTTCCAAACACATGCCTGCCCACACGCTTCACAATCACATGCCCGCCCGCGTGCAGATACCCGCAACACACAATGATGTGTGCATGACCCGTTCCATGACCACACACATACACACACTCGCACGCGCACCCGCGCGCGCATGAACGCGCGCGCACACACACGCACACACACGCACATACACGCACATACACGCACATACACGCACACACACATACATACAAGCACCCACCTGCACCACCAGGGCCAGCGGCTTCTTTATGTCCAGGGCCGCCACAAACGCCCCCAGTGCCTCGATGTAGGCCGACTCAGAGTACTTGAACCGGGCCGGGGCGGGCTTGGCGCTGTCGCCGTGGCCGATCCAGTCGGGCGCGACTGCAGACACCCCGGCTCCCCCCAGGAGCGCCAGGGTGTTGCGGTAGCTGCAAAGCGCGTGGCGTCGAGGGGGTTGTGCGGGGGGCAAAGCGTGTGGGCGGTTTGGCGAACGGCCTGCGCGTGGCAGCGGTAGGGCCGCGAGCCTGCCGGGGCCGCTCGCGCCCTGCTGTCCGACTACGAGGGTGACTCGCGCACTGCAGCTGCGCCGGCACCTCGCGCCCACCTCAAGGGCACGCTCGTGCCTGGGCCCCTGGCAGCCACAACAGGCGCAAACCTTTGGAGTGGCGACTGCACATGAACCTATTCAACTACACATGGAGAAACCCACCAAAATGCAGGATAAGACAGAAGCAAAACGAGGCGTTCCCTCTCGCGCACCTGTACCCGCTGGACCCCAGGCCGTGCAGCAGCAGTACGTCAGGCGTCCCCTGCTCCGCGGCGCCCTCAGACACCTCGCTGCGGCGGTACGCCCACTCGTGGCCGCCGGCGGTGAGCGTGAAGCCGGCGACAGGGTTCAGAGCGGAGCGCTTGGCAATCACCTGCGCACGCGAGGCGCGACGCGTCCTCCATCAATCAAGCTGCCGTAGCGCACGCAGCACGACTCGCACGCAAGTCTGCAGGTGGCCTTGTGGTGCTAGGCGCTCGGGGCCCGAGGTAGCCCTGAGGGCGGAAGCGCGCCGCTGCGGCTGGCCGTACCTGTGCTGACCCCGCCGTCAAACGTGCTGGGTGGCATGCAGTTGCCAAGGCGGGCATGTGACCAAAGCCATCATTCACTGCTTCACCCCTCCCCAGAACTCACCAGGCCGGTGTAAGGATCGATTTCAGTGTCTTCCTCAACCTCCGCGGCGCGCGCCACGATGTTGCGGCGCCGCTGCGCCGCTGCCCCCCTGGCCACCACAGCACGCCCATTGGCGCCCGTCGCGCTGCACCGCACGGCTCCGGCCGCGCATCGTGGGTGGGCGTTTAGCTGCATGATGAAGGGAATTATGGATTATTCAATCTCAATTGTGCCCGCAAATGTGCCAGTCCGCGGGAATGTGCTGCGATTCGAGCACCTACGTACACACGATCTTTGAGGATTTGCGACTTGTGTGAATTTTATCGCGGTGCGAGTGTTGAAACACCAGCCACGACCACCTGTGTTCAAGGGCCTTCCGCAGCAATCGCTGTGCAGCGTGGCACCGCAAGCAGAGCACCAACGGGCGCAGGTGTTGACTCATTCAAAGCTGTGTAATGCAAAAGCAGCACGGGGGCCACGCACTTGCGCGAGCGACCTACCCTTATAACATAGGCACCTTGATAGGGGGCTGCGCCGCCAAATACTTCAAGACCAACAGCCGGTCAAACACGTTGGCCGTGGCTGGTCAAACACTTGGGCCTGTGTGTGAAGCGCACCTGGGTCACAGGCGGACCTGCGCCAACATCCGCGATCCTGTATGCTTCAATACAAGGATGATGACACGACTGATCTCTGCGTGGTGTATGCAGTGAATTGACTCGAAACCGTTATTACTAACGCGCAACCCACCCAGATTCTTGAAGAAACCCAACTGTGCACGGGGTGGCATGGAGCCCTTGCACTGCTGGGGTCCTTTGGTGAGAACAGTCAGAAAGAACGCAAAAAGACTGAAAAATGCGTATGGGCGTCAAGATGATCATGCCAAGGGCCACAGCACGCAGAAACCCCCCAAAGCCAGCCCCCCCCTCCCCCCCTGCCAAACGGCACACCCCAGGAGAATTCTGTGCAGCGCTCCAATACCTTGGGCGCACCTGCAGCCTTGCAAACAGTACTTCCGCGAGTGGCCACGTGCGGATGCTCGACTTATTGTCCCACCACCAAATGAAATATTCGGGCGGGCAGGCAGCATCAGCTACCTGGCAACCCATTCATGTATGTACATGGTAACCCATGGTCATAAGAATGCATGCAGTCATAAACATATGAAACCCAACATCCAGACACCCCTTGAAAGAAAAGAAGCCGTACAAAATCCTTGACAGGGGCGGAGGAGCGAGGACTGAGGCCAACCCGTGTGTGCGTCACCAGGCCCCTGTTAAGCCATCGCCGGCGCGGCGCGCCGGGGCCCGGCGGCCGAGGGCGGGGCAGCAGAGGGCAGGGCAGGAGAGGGCGGGGCAGCAGAGGGCGGGGCGGCAGAGGGCGCAACGGCGGGCGGTGCGGCGCCGGGCGGCGGCATGGCCGGCTGCCAGGTGAGCCTGAACCCTGCCCCCACGGGCAGCTGCAACCCTGAGATCCGCAGAACCCCGCGGCCGGCGTCCCAATTCACAGATTGTGGGTCCACGGGCGCCAGGGGCCCGGTGGCGTTGCCGATGGCCACCGAATAGGTCGCGCCGGCTGCATCCGGTTGTTGGGCCGCGCCCCCTGCCGGGGCCGCTGCCGCCGTGGCGTTTGTCGCGGCGGCGCCGCCGTCGCCCCCGTCCTCACCATCCCCCTCCGGCGCCGCCCCGGCCGCCTCGTCACCGCCGCCCCCCGGGTCGCCCTCACCGCCGCCGCCGTCGTTGCCCTCCTCCGTGTCCCCGTCACTACTGTCGTCATCGGTGCCGTCCTGATTCCCGTCACCCGTCAGCGGCGGCAGCCCGGCGATGACGACAGCCTCGTACGTCAACCCCTCCGCCGCGTCCCTGGGCGCCGCCCCCGTTGGCGCCGGCTTCCCGCTGATGCCAGTCGCAGCCCGCGCCGCCGCCGCAGCCGCAGCGGCGGCCGGCGTCGGGCGCGCGGCCTCGGCAGTCAGATCGCCGCTCGAGCCGTCCGAGGATGCGACGGAGGTGTACCAGATCAGCACGCTCCCCGGCCCTGTAACCTCGGGCGACTCGCCATCGTCGAGGTACCAAATCCCGCACGCGGCCAGCGCCCCGCCCGGCAACCGCCGCGCCGTCACCCGGCCGGAGCAGTAGGGCGGCACGCCCTCGTCCCACGCGCGCCGCGCCGCGCCCGAGCCGCGCTCCGGCGCCGGCCGCTGCAGCGCGAGCGCGAGCGTCGCGGGCGTGCGCCGCGCGGCGCGCGTGGTCGGCGCGTGGCGCTGCAGCGGTACGACCCCGCCGCCGCGGACGTGCAGCGGCGGCGCGGCCTCCAGCGGGGCGGCCGCCTCCTGCCTGGCCGGGCCGACCACCGTGATGTTCCCGGCGTCACCGCCGCCGCCGGTGACGCCTGGTGACGCCGCGAGGAGGTCCTCCAGGGGGTACCATCTTCCCACCGGGAAGTAGGCCTGGACAGCGTTCGAGCTGGGGGACAGGGACGGGCTGACTAGGAGGGACCAGCCGAGCAGCCATTGGGAGGATGCGTCGTGCGCGGCACGGTCGCCTGGAGGGGGGATGTATGGGGGGAGGACGGGGGCGGGAGTCAAATGAGGGGATGAAGGACTG